TTTTTTTAATAAAAATGGCCCTAAATTTTAGTAGTGCCTTTTCTGTATGCAAAACTATTTTTATTATCTATAAAATGTATTGTTTGTTAATATTATAAATCTTCACTTCTCTCTTACTTGCTGTTTCCATTCTCAGAAATCACAAAAAAAGCTGAATTTATTTTTTATAATGAAATATACCTCTTGCATTTCTGATTTCCATATTGTTTTAAAATTTAATTCAGCATAACACTCATATTATTCTACACACTTTCCATACATAATTTACCTGGTAATGTATTCTAAAGTGACAGGATCTTCCACAGTAAGTTTGTGAGATTGGCACTCCACACGAGCTCTGTTTACTAGGATACGAGCATCAGCAGTCAGTCCTGGAGAAGAAACAACATTGTTTTAGTAACAATTATTACAATACTTATTACTTATAACCATCACTCACTCAATCTCTGTCATGCTATCATCACAGTTCAGACTACCTTCTGACTGCAGTATCCTTGCTGCTCTTCCATTTCCAGGTCTCGAGTCCAGCTAATAGTTTCCCTGAATAAATGTTACCTTTCTCACACTCCAACAGCATGTCCATTAAAATCCACTTGTTTGCATTTCATTCCTATTTAACATGCTTGAACATGCCTGCTAGATGCTAGAGCCCCTAAAACTCAAAGCCTCCTTTAACCCCCTCCCTCCAACCATTCCTGGGAAGACCCCCTATCCCTTCAATCTTCCATTCCAGTGTTATACACTCTCTTCATCATCCTATTAAATGCCACCTCAGCAACCCCTCCTCAGGAGTCTGAATTATACTCTTGGCGACCCCCACACAGTTTTAATTTCTACACTCCGAGCCCTCTGTATAACATTCATACCATGTGCTGATCTCAAATTTGACATCTCCACTGCCTCCAGCCTTTGCCTTGCTGCAATGTTCCAAGCCCATGTCTCACACCCATACAAAAACATTGGTACCATTACATTTTTTTTTTCTTTTTTTTTTTTTTTGCCTTTCTATTTAAACTTTCCACTGATACCTCAACACATCACCTATATTTTCCCATCTAATACATTTCACTTTCTCTTTCATACACCTATCTGCTGATAAGTTCACTCCAAAGTATCTGAATACATCCACTCTCCATACTTACTCCCTACAATCTGATAGTGAAGGTATCATCAACTAGATTTTTTGTTACCTTCTTTCATATGTTCCCTTTTTATTTCCTTTTACATACCCTCTCAAATTCATCCACCAAACTTTGAAACCTGTCTTCAGAATCTCCCAAAAGAACTGTCAATGATAAAGTGAAACTGAGACAACTCCTATTTTGTACTAAATCCAATATCTTTTAACCCTTTCATGTCCAGACCCCTAAAATGAGAGAGAATTTTTTCCTTGATGGAAAAACATGAAATTAGGCAAGCAGTCTAGGCACATTTTATGCAACAGCAATTTCACCAAACCATACCACAGGCGGGGATTGAACTCATGGCGAGTGAGTCATAAAACTCACTCACTACGAGTTCAATCCCCGCCCGTGGTATGGTTTGTTTGCAATCATGTCATTACGATATCATAAGTCAATTTCACCAACTTCTGAGTCCTATTTTAAGCCAATTACATTCCTCAATTTGGCAAAATTCTTAGCTATCTTGCTAGTATGCCTTCCACTCAGCTATCATAATTGCTCTATAAAGTTCACAGAATTCAGTAATTTGGCCAATTTTATGCAAAGTTTAAAAAAATTAATTTAAAAAAACAAGAGTCCAAAATAAACACTGTAGATATTCCAGGCACTAAAAGAACATTTCTTCTGTGCAATAATCATGCCCCAAGCCTCTCCTATATTGCATTTGCTTTCCATTTAGAATTCATCTAAAAAAATTGAATATTTACTCTATTTCTCAAGCAAAAAATATATACAGGAATTTGTCATGGTTTGTGGTATCTCAATAATTGAATCATATTTAGTAAAAACACCCACAAAACAGACCATGGGTGCATGTAGGGAAGGCCATACTCATCCTCAAGAATATTGGCAAAAATAAAATATTTCTGCCACTTTGAGACTGATTTCAAGCTACTTTCGATTTCGAAACTTACTAAAATCATCTCTATTTCAGTAGTTGTGTGTTCCACTCTATCAAATGATTCTAAGAAACAGCCAATAAACCTATAAAAACCACCCTAGAAAATACCTCAAAGTCACTATTTTCAACCAAACACAGGGTCAGAGTTTTGCTCTTCCCATTACGCACCACATGAGGCAGGATTTTTTTATACTATGCACACTTGCTACACAGACCCATTCTCTCATATCTAGGCCAAAATTTACTGCTCACAGCTTATCCGAGCGAGTTGAACTCATGATGTAAATCCACGTAACAGATCCCAGCATCAATACTACAACTTAGTTCCATGTAGCAAGACAATCAGAGGGTAAATCCCACACATCTCCCCAACATTCCACATTCACTTTTCTTTTTTAAAACCCTATCTATACACTAAATATTGATTGTGACATCACACATTCCCTTTCTGTCCTACTTTCATTGGGAAATAGTCCTGCTCTCTCCTACATACCCTAACCTAAGTGTAGCTGCATAAAACTCTTAAATGCTTTTAGTATCCTACCTCCTATTTCATATATTTGCAATTTTTGCCACATAGCTCTCCTTTATTATTATTATATTCATGGGAAAGTGCTAAACCCATAGGAGTAATACACCATCTGGGAAATGAAAGATAAGCAGGCTCAACCCTTGGCTTTAATTCCTTGATTCAGGAGACCTTTATTTGGCTTCACAGAACCCTTCTAGATTGTTAATTTTGATTTAACCTTAAATACTGATATGACACATTATTTACAGATACATTTAAACAAAACCAATACTTCATCTAACAATTCAAATAAGATAATGTCATAACATACCTGCAAAGGCCATGAGTACATGGTCATCAAGGAGGCATATTTTTCTTACAGTGCGTTCTTCTTGCAGCTTTGGGACAGACTTCTTTTCAACGCACAGAACCACTACATCCTTGCCCTTCACACCCACCTGTGAAAGAAAATGTATCTAACAGCTGAAAATTGTTTGGGATAGTAGTAGTATTACATTCACAAAGGAGTGCTGAAGGCATTTAGGGTCAATCCAAGGAATGGGGCAGTAGTATACTAGTAGCAGTGATATTTACAGTGCACTTTGAGTAGGTCACTCAGCGCTCATACAACAAAAATCAAATAAACCTTAGGTTTAATGGACAAATAGGGAAAAGGGGGGGGGCTGATAAAGCTGCTTTCCCATTAAATCTGAATGAAAATATTTTTTTTCAATCATCCTAACAGTAAGAGAATTTTTGGATTTACCCAGTGGACTGCAAGAATAATGAATAATTCTGAATTTAATGAACTTTGTCTATTAAATCCTGAATTCTGTCAAAAATAGCACACAATTCTGATATAATGGACAAGTCTGTGAATCCACAGACTGTACGACTAGTTTGACAATTCTGCCTTTGTCCATTTCTTCTGAATGTTGTCCGGCCTCAGATTTTGTCCACTAAATCGGGAACTATTAAATCAATTTTTACAGTAATATCATGTAACATACTATTAAAAATTGTTTAGGATGATGCCTTGATTACTGTATTAAGTTTCAAATTTATTTGGGCAATGAAATTGAAGTGGCCTGGCGGGTATCACTCTCACCTCACACATTGAGTGTATACCTGGAGAGGGTTTCGGGAGTCAACAGCTCTGTTCCACAAGGCACAGTACTCGCCCCCATCTTATTCCTTATCCTCATATCAGACATAAACAGAGATATACATCACAGCACCGTATCATCCTTTGCGGATGATACTATGATCTGCATGAGGCTGTCATCTGCTGAGGACGCGGTTAACCTCCAAGAAGATATAAACAAAGTTTTCCAGTGGGCAACGGTAAACAATATGATGTTCAATGAGGACAAATTCCAACTACTCCGTTATGGAAAACTGGAGGAGATAATAACTAGAACAGAGTATACTACTGACTCCGGCCATACAATAGAGTGGAAAAATAATGTAAGGGACCTGGAGTAGTAATGTCTGAGGATCTCACTTTCAAGGATCACAACAGTGCCACGATCGCACGTGCAAAGAAAATGATAGGTGGATAATGAGAACTTTAAAATGAGAGATGCCAAGCCCATGATGATCCTTTTCAAATCACTTGTTCTCTCTAGGCTGGAAAACTGCTGTACATTAACATCTCCATTCAAGCAGGTGAAATCGCAGATCTAGAGAGTGTACAGAGATCCTTTACTGCACGTATAAGTTCTGTCAAGCACCTTAACTACTGGACGCTTGGAAGCACTTGACTTGTACTCGTTGGAACGCAGGAGGAGAGAATATATCATAATCTACACTTGGAAAATCTTGGAAGGAATGGTCCCAAATCTGCACACAGAAATCACTCCTACGAAAGTAAAAGGACTGGGCAGGCGATGCAAAATGCCCCCAATAAAAATGTAGGGGCGCCATTGGTACACTAAGGGAAAACACCATAAGTGTTCGGGCCCAAAACTGTTCAACAGCCTCCCATCAAGCATTAGGGGAATTGCCAATAAACCCTGGCTGCCTTCAAGAGAGAGCTGGACAGATACCAAAGTCAGTGCCAGATCATGCCGGCTATGGCTCGTACGTTGGACTGCGTGCGGCCAGCAGTAACAGCCTAGTTGATCAGGCCCTGATCCATCGGGAGCCCTGGTCATGGACCGGGCCGCGGGGGCGTTGATCCCCGGAATAACCTCCAGGTAACCCCTGCGGCCTGGTCTGTGACCAGGCCTCATGGTGGATCAGGGCCTGATCAACCAGGCTGTTGCTGTTCATCGCACGCATTCTGACGTACGAACCACAGCCCTGCTGTGGCACTTTAGGTGCCTGTCCAGTGCCTTCTTGAAGACTCCCAGGGGTGTCTGTGGTTCAATCCACGGCTGGGTGGAAACACTGGGTGTGTTTTCTTACACCTATTATTCGATTCACCTAGCAAGTAAGTAGGTACCTGGCAGTAAGTTGAATGGTGTGGGTTGCATCCTGGGGGACAAGACTGAAAGACCCCAGCGGAAATAAGACAGACAGTCCCTCGATGACGTACCGCCCTTCATGGGTTATCCTGGGTGGCTAACCCTCTGGAGTTAAAAATCCCAACAAAATCTCATCTTAACCTAACAGACTAAATTATTTAGATTATAAAGCTGAAGGGTTAGTAACCCAAGAAAGCTAATTAGTGTGTCTAATTTTCCCTACGATCCTTTGGGCCTCTTCCCCAAGATGCAATCAACAATTTGAAACAGTCGAAGGTTATACCTGTTTACTGCTAGGTTAACAGGGGACAGTAGGAGTGAGAAAACATGCACAACATTTCAACCCTCCCCAGAATTAAACCCGGGCTCCTTGGTTGTGAACCAAAGGCAATACCCCTGAGACACCTACTATAAGCAAGCAATTAAATTTATTCAGGTACAGGTACACACAAGTACAGTTATTATTATAATCATAACCAAGCTGTAAACCCGTAAGGATTGGAATAAGCCTCCCCCACTCCCCCCAAAAAAGTCAAGAGACTTATTCCCACTGTCACTTGTTAGCATTGGTAGGTAGACATACATTCCATTTTTTTTTTTTTTACTGTCACACGAAGTCAAAATTTTATCCAACATTCATTATCATGGGGAGCGCTAAACCCGTATATCCAACATTCACTCTTTATCACACAAGGTCCAAATGGAAATAATTTTTTTGAGTGGGGGGGGGGTTATCCTAGGTAATTTAGACATACATTACCGTGCAAGACAATCTGCAAATCATCCAAAAAACTGCGTAAAACCACATATAAATAAACTTAACTGACGAGACTTAAAAACGCCAAGTCCCTCACTAGTCACCCCGGCTACACAAGCACATTTTTCACCCCAAAATTTAACCCACAAACAAAAATGAAATGATTGCACTGGTACTCACAGCCGTCGAGCCCTTCTTGACGGCCTCCTGGGCATATTCAACTTGAAATAAGTGACCATCAGGGCTGAAAACAGTGATAGCACGATCATAACTGGTGCCGGACATGATGACTGGCAGAGTAACAACAACACAGGTGGCGCCCTCACTCTCTCTCTCTCTCTCTTTATCTCTCTCTCTAACTCTCTATCTCTATCTCACTCCCGCTTTATTCAAACTAAGTAAGTTCATTTAGTCACAGGTACACATGGGTACAATTATCATACAGAGGTAAATTACCCAGGATAACCCACAGTCAGACTAATTTCCATTGGGGGTCCTTGTAATATATTATTATTTAAGCCTTAAAAGTTAAAACACCTAAGTAATAATAATAATAATAATAATAATAATAATAATAATAATAATAATAATAATAATAATAATAATAATAATAATAATAATAATAATAATAATAATTTCTATTTCTACATATACATGATGCAACGTATACAGACCATAGCTGACATCAGTGACACACGTTAAGTACAATAAATAAATAAGCAAGTTTATTTAGGTACGGGTATACGTGGGGGGGGTTTCTGGGGTCAACGCCCCCGCGGCCAGGTCCAAGACCAGGCCTCGTGGTGGATCAGGGTCTAATCAACTAGGCTGTTACTGCTGGCCGACGCACGTACCACAGTCCTACTGATCAGGTACTGACTTTAGGTTCCTGTCCAGTGTCTTCTTGAAGACAGCCATGGGTCTATTGGTAATCCCCCTTATGTATGCTGGGAGGCAGTTGAACAGTCTTGGGCTCCTGACACTTACTGTGTTGTCTCATTGTACTCATGGCGCCCCTGCTTTTCATTGGGGGGATGTTGCACTGCCTGCCAAGTCTTTTGCTTTCACAGGGAGTGATTTCCATGTGCAGAGTTGGGACTAGTCCTAGAATTTTCCAAATGTAAATTATCATGTATCCTTCTCGCCTGCATTCCAAGGAGTACAGGTCAAGGACCCTCAACCGTTCCTTGTAATTTAGGTGTTTTATTGTAATTGTTCAGTAAGACACATGTGCAACAGTTAGGTATCTTTGTTCCGAAACGTTTCGACTACACAGTAGGCTTCTTCAGTCGAGTACAGAAGAGGTAGCAGAGCAATAGAGATGTAAAGACGATGTAATCAATCCAGCACCAACTGACAAGGGCTAAGGATATCCCGTGGCCTGGCTGGCAAGCTCTCACTTCACACACGGAGGGCCCGGGTTCGATTCCCGGCGGAGTAGAAACTTTCGACGTGTTTCCTTACACCTGTTGTCCTGTTCACCTAGCAGCAAGTAGGTACCTGGGTGCTAGTTGACTGGTGTGGGTGGCATCCTGGGGGACAAGATTGAGGACCACAATGGAAATAAGACAGAGAGTCCTCGATGACGCACTGACTCTTTCGGGTTATCCTGGGTTGCTAACCCTCCGGGGTTAAAAATCCGAAGAAATCTTATCTTTATGCTTAGTGTACACAACACAAATTTTTAACAATGGTCTTGAGGGCAAGTAGATGTTATAGACTCATACAAGAACATTAATAAGTTAATTTAACCCAGGATAACCATATAGCCAAACACTGACTTATTTCTAATTAGAAGTGTCAGTCTTTAATTATTTTACAGAAATTAACAGAACTAGCACATTATGACTCACACAAGATCCATACATAGCTTTAAGAAGAGGTATGATAAAGTTCTTGGAGCGGGGAGAGTGTGACGCATTATTATTATTATTATAATCAAGGGGGAAGCGCTAAACCCGGAGGATTATACAGCGCCTGGGGGGGATGTGGAAGGCATTCAGGCTTAATTCGGGGAACTGGAGCCTAGATCCAATTCCCTAAATCAAGAGCCCCTCACCAACATCAAGGAACCTTCCTTGAGGGGAGAGTGTGACGCAGCAGCTACTAGTGAAGAAGTGGAGCCAGGAGCTGTGAATCGACCCCTGCAACCACATTTAGGTGAGCACAAGCTAACAAAGAAATTATTCCTATACAATCATGCAAAAACAAAACTGATTCTTACTTTAAGATAATCCAATCTGATAAAATAATTCCACAAATTTCCAAATTTTGAGAGAAAAAAAAAATGATTCCATTGAAAAATTTGGCCACTCACAAACCAGCCATCTGTTTGAATTCAATAAAGAATGTAAACAGTTCATTACTACCTCAATTTGCTCAGCAAAGACTAATGTTGGGGTCTAGTTCCTGGACCCAGTCTGTCTCCCATCCACTGACTACCACCCACAGAAATAGATTACATTAAAGTTGCTCATAGATTACATTAAAGTTAGTGGTAGATAAGATAAGATTTCGTTCGGATTTTTAACCCCGGAGGGTTAGCCACCCAGGATAACCCAAGAAAGTCAGTGCGTCATCGAGGACTCTCTGTCTTATTTCCATTGTGGTCCTCAATCTTGTCCCCCAGGATGCCACCCACACCAGTCGACTAACACCCAGGTACCTACTTGCTGCTAGGTGAACAGGACAACAGGTGTAAGGAAACGTGTCGAAATGTTTCCACCCGCCGGGAATCGAACCCGGGCCCTCTGTGTGTGAAGAGGGAGCTTTGGCCACCAGCCCACCGGGCAAGTAAGTAAGCAAGTAAGCAAGTAAGTAAGCAAGTAAGTAAGTAGGCAAGTAAGGAAGCAAGCAAGTAAGCAAGTAAGTAAGCAAGTAAGCAAGTAAATAAGTAAGCAAGTAAGCAAGTAAGTAAGCAAATAAATAAGCAAGTAAGTAAGCAAGTAAGAAAGCAAATAAGTATTAAGCAAGTAAGTAAGCAAGTAAGTAAGCAAGTAAGTAAGCAAGTAAGTAAGTAAGCAAGTAAGTAAGCAAGCAAGTAAGCAAGTAAGCAAGCAAGTAAGCAAGTAAGCAAGTAAGTAAGTAAGTAAGTAAGTAAGCAAGCAAGTAAGCAAGTAAGTATTAAGCAAGTAAGTAAGTAAGTAAGTAAGCAAATAAGCAAGTAAGTAAGCAAGTAAGCAAGTAAGTAAGCAAGTAAGTAAGTAAGCAAGTAAGTAAGCAAGTAAGTAAGCAAATAAGTAAGCAAGTAAGTAAGCAAGTAACTAAGCAAGTAAGCAAGTAAGTAAGTAAGGAAGTATACACAAATACAGTTACATAGATTATCATACATAATGTTATCTTCATTATTCTATAACGAAGATAACATCTTATTATCATACTAAAAAGACTATCTACTACACGAAGGTCATTACTAGGAATAAGGCCACAGTAAAGTTGCTGGTAGATCACAGTAAAGTTGCTGGTAGATCACAGTAAAGTTGCTGGTAGATCACAGTAAAGTTGCTGGTAGATCACAGTAAAGTTGCTGGTAGATCACAGTAAAGTTGCTGGTAGATCACAGTAAAGTTGCTGGTAGATCACAGTAAAGTTGCTGGTAGATCACAGTAAAGTTGCTGGTAGATCACAGTAAAGTTGCTGGTAGATCACAGTAAAGTTGCTGGTAAAATCACAGTAAAGTTACTGGTAGATCACAGTAAAGTTGCTGGTAGATCACAGAAAATGTTACTGGTAGATCACAGTAAAGTTGCTGGTAGATCACAGTAAAGTTGCTGGTAGATCACAGTAAAGTTGCTGGTAGATCACAGTAAAGTTGCTGGTAGATCACAGTAAAGTTGCTGGTAGATCACAGTAAAGTTGCTGGTAGATCACAGTAAAGTTACTGGTAGATCACAGTAAAGTTGCTGGTAGATCACAGTAAAGTTACTGGTAGATCACAGTAAAGTTGCTGGTAGATCACAGTAAAGTTGCTGGTAGATACAGTAAAGTTGCTGGTAGATCACAGTAAGTTGCTGGTAGATCACGGTAAAGTTGCTGGTAGATCACAGTAAAGTTGCTGGTAGATCACAGTAAAGTTGCTGGTAGATCACAGTAAAGTTGCTGGTAGATCACAGTAAAGTTGCTGGTAGATCACGGTAAAGTTGCTGGTAGATCACAGTAAAGTTACTGGTAGATCACAGTAAAGTTGCTGGTAGATCACAGTTGCTGGTAGATCACAGTTGCTGGTAGATCACAGTTGCTGGTAGATCACAGTAAAGTTACTGGTAGATCACAGTAAAGTTATTGGTAGATCACAGTAAAGTTGCTGGTAGATCACAGTAAAGTTGCTGGTAGATCACAGTAAAGTTGCTGTTAGATCACAGTTGCTGGAAGATCACAGTTCCTGGTAGATCACAGTAAAGTTACTGGTAGATCACAGTAAAGTTACTGGTAGATCACAGTAAAGTTACTGGTAGATCACAGTAAAGTTACTGGTAGATCACAGTAAAGTTCATGGTAGATCACGGTAAAGTTACTGGTAGATCACAGTAAAGTTGCTGGTAGATCACAGTAAAGTTGCTGGTAGATCACAGTAAAATTGCTGGTAGATCACAGTAAAGTTGCTGGTAGATCACAGTAAAGTTGCTGGTAGATCACAGTAAATTTTGCTCGTAGATCACAGTAAAGTTGCTGGTAGATCACAGTAAAGTTGCTGGTAGATCACAGTAAAGTTGCTGGTAGATCACAGTAAAGTTGCTGGTAGATCACAGTAAAGTTGCTGGTAGATCACGGTAAAGTTGCTGGTAGATCACGGTAAAGTTGCTGGTAGATCACAGTAAAGTTGCTGGTAGATCACAGTAATGTTGCTGGTAGATCACAGTAAAGTTGTGGTAGATCAAGTTGCTGGTAGATCACAGTTGCTGGTAGATCACAGTTGCTGGTAGATCACAGTTGCTGGTAGATCACAGTTGCTGGTAGATCACAGTTGCTGGTAGATCACAGTTGCTGGTAGATCACAGTTGCTGGTAGATCACAGTTGCTGGTAGATCACAGTTGCTGGTAGATCACAGTTGCTGGTAGATCACAGTTGCTGGTAGATCACAGTTGCTGGTAGATCACAGTAAAGTTGCTGGTAGATCACAGTAAATTTTGCTGGTAGATCACAGTAAAGTTGCTGGTAGATCACAGTAAAGTTGCTGGTAGATCACAGTAAAGTTGCTGGTAGATCACGGTAAAGTTGCTGGTAGATCACGGTAAAGTTGCTGGTAGATCACAGTAAAGTTGCTGGTAGATCACAGTAATGTTGCTGGTAGATCACAGTAAAGTTGCTGGTAGATCACAGTTGCTGGTAGATCACAGT